CAGACATATTAACGCCACACATTCGGTAGAATTTATAGAATATTGTAAAAAATATTATATATATATATATATATATATATATATATATATATATATATATATATATATATATATATATATATATATGAGTGTGTGTACGTATTATATATACAGCAGTAAACTATGTATTTAAAAACCCGTACTAAAGATCTCGCTTTTAATGACGTTAAACTTCTATTCTATAATTTCACAAACACACGTACACACACACACACACACGTAACAAAAAAACGTACGCCCAAACGTACGCACACACGCACACATACAGGCACGAGCGATCCCTACGTTAAAATCATGTTGCTACCTGATAAGAAGAGGAAACTGATGACCAATGTGAAGAGGAAGAATTTGAACCCAAGATGGAATGAAGTCTTCGCTTTCGAAGGTTGCTTACTGCTCAATTTGATATTTTTATCAATTTAATTTATTTTTTATTTTGGATAGTTGAGTAATATTGATTTATTATTTATTATTTGCCAATCTATTTAATTTTAAATCTTTTTTGAGAAATTGCTAGAAAAGCTGAGGATTTCAATTTAAAAATTAGACTGTTCTAAAAATGCAAAACAATACAAGATGTAACAAAAGATAACAACGATGACGTGAATAATGACGCACGTCATTTATCACCGGACCAGATGGCCACATACTACTTACCTACTACATGACGCGACACGACATGTCACGTGACAACTTTTCTTCATGTAAACCTCAAAAAAGAAAATAATTAATTAAAATACGTTTTTATCATTTTGTTCTAACTTTTTTATTATTATTATTCAAAAATCAGGATGACAGACGCAGAAACTATTAAGATCATGCCTATTAAGAGCATGATTTTTTGCATGCTATCGGTTTGCTGCTTATATTGTTATTTGAAAAATAAAAAATTTAAAAATATTTCACCCGAAAAGATCTGCTGCCCAAATGAATTTAATTAAACGAAACGAGTAGGCTGTCCGCTTTTTTATAATTGACGACTTAATGGAAAATTGTTTTAGACATAAGTTTGTTGCAAATTTAATTATGAAAAGTTTAGAAAAAATGTTTTGGCAGCCTAGTATTGCAAAATTAATATTATTATAAAAAAATTTTCACCAATGTATCAAAATTTTATTAAAATTTATTCATCTTTAGAAATTAGTAAGAATGAGCAAACAAAGTAATATAAAGTTTTAAAAAAAAAATTAAATTAATATTGCTTTTAAAATTGCAAATTTTTCAATTAAGATAGTTGATAAAAATAATAAATCTCTTAATTTGAAAATGAAATAAAAAAAAGTTGAAAAATTTAAATTATTACCTAATCTCCAATGCACCAAACTATAAAAAGCTCTCCGTGTCCCTCAAGGCATGTTGCTTTTTCTCTCATTCTCAATAATAAAATAGCAATTGATTTCCAATAAGATGCACTTTTAGACATTCTCTCTTCAATCAAGCAAAATAAATTTTATAAATTTCAATCAATGCATACCCGGGGCAAGTTGCAATGCTCTTAAGCCTTTTATTTTACAAGATTTTCAAATTCATGTTTCGCTTTCATCATTATAAAATCATCATTTAGTGCAAAATTTAATTTATTAACATATGAAATGAAGCACTAATCACTGATTATCTTCATCATGAAATACATATTTTATGACCACTTTCAACCAACATCAAGTTTCGCCATGCGCCCGCGGTCATTGCAGCTATTGACGTTGCGATAACTACGTGCTGACGTTCCGCTGATGTTACAGAACCGACCTACCCGTAACTGATGTTTTTAATGCTTTTAGTTAATGTTATTCTTTTTTAACATTCAGATTTTCAATAATTTAAACATTTTTTGTTGTGAATATTTAAACAAATAATAATCGAAAATATAAAAATTTTATATGCTAGAGTGAAAAGTATAAAATAAGATATTTATGTTGTATAGAAAAGTTTAAATTTCTAGATCTAAGACGCCTGGTAAAATAAAAACTTGTTGAATTATGTTTGATCTGATAACGTTTCAAAATTGATTTTTTATAAAATTGCAATGAGAAAATGAGAAACAAGAAAAAACTTTCTTAGAAACGCACTGTTAAAAACTTCAACCACCTTACCAATTGAAAAAATATGAGCCAACCGGTTAATGACGCGATGAAATTCATCTAATTAACACGCGAAATTCGGCCTGAGGAACGGAGTGGCGTCATTGGACACAGGTGTTGCATCAGATGATAGCATCAAATATGCATGGGCTATTCTATTTAATTTATTAGCCTCTCATAAAAAAACACCTGTACCGCAACCGTGATTTGGCACTTCTCAAACAATATTCGTATTGGTGGCAGTTTCGCACCCTCTTGATATCTTTAAGTACCATTTTTACTATTATTATCTTTATTATTGAGAAAAAAAATAATTATAATGTTTTTCTATCATTATTTTGAAAAATATTTTGTTTTAAAAGTATATGAATGTATCTTGAGAAAGTAATAAAAATGTTATGCCAATATTTTGATTCTAGAAAGTGGTTGATTTATTTGATTGCGGTAATGATAGTGGTGATGACGACGAAGACGATGATGATAATAATAATGTTGAGTCAAAATATATCTAAAACGACAAAAACAATGATGATGACGATGGTTATTATGATTATTTTGAAGGTGAAGGTTGCAGTTGGACTCACCAAGACCGTCATATAATTTTATGTCTCGGTTTACATTCGGCATGAATTTGAAATTTCATGCGAGCCGAGTATAGTCTTGCTTCATCGTCAGCCACTATGCTTATCTTGCTACGACATCACTTGCAACTAAACAACCAACTAACCAACTATTCAACTAACCATCCATCTAACAAATATACCAACTAACCAACCATCTAAACAATCAATCAAACAGCCATCCAACCAACCAAACAAACAAACAATTAATCAAGCTATCAAATAAACAATCAGTCAACCAGCCAAACAAACAATTTACCAACCAGCCAACCTATCAACCAACTTTCCAGCTACCAACCAGCTTACCAGCAACAACAAAATCATTCATCATTCCACATCTTATGTTAATCGACGATAGGTTGCTGGTGGTGATGATAGGAGGATGTTTATGAATGATGGCGAAGTAAAATTACGATAGCTATGATTAAACTGATTAGCGGTGATGACGACGACGATGATGGTGATGAACGATGATGATGACGGTGGTCCTAATGAGAATAATGATGATAAATGGAAAACACGTTAATGAAGATGAATTCTCTGGAATAACTACTAAAAAATAACAAGACCGCTATTAATGGTCTAAACAGTCGTTTTGTCGTAATGATATAGTGATTGTAATTAGTTTGGTGTTAGAAAATACAATGTTAAAACTTCAAATCAAAGTCTAAGCATAAAACTTTCAGCGATTTTCATTAGTTTGAGAAGTTTTGCAGATCATTCAAAGTTATCTCAAATCGTTCTAACACAAGCAGGCGAGAAAATATAAAAAGTTGTTAATTCATTACTTCAAGACACCTGAATAAATTATGGTCCTTAAATGAAGATAAACTGTAAGCAAACGACGATAGAAGCACTCGTCAATCTCCTGCCAGCGAGTGCCAGATTAATTTGCGCGTTATTGATGCTACCTCGTAAAAAACCTCAAATTAGTGTTTGTATATAATAATTTTATTGATTTTTTTAAAATATGAAATTAAGAATATGTTTTGAAAATGACTCTGCTAAAGGAATTATTTGTGAATCTGCTAAAGAAATTATTTGTCGTACAATATTGCTTACTTATACAATACATGCTCCATGCATACAATAGTTTTGACGTGCCAAACCTGTTGTTGCTGTGTTCCTTCTTAACTCTTAATTCATTCTTACTGGTTGAATGGATGGGTGTCTGTTGTTATGAATAAACAATCATTTCTTGTACCTACTTCGAACGTTACATTGTGTTGTTTATCTTTGCCGAAATGATGAAATTAGTATGAAAAATGTTTCATCGAAAATGCGTGCCACGTGTAAATGCAATTCATTTCTTTTTTGGATGAAAAAACGTTTTTTTCAAATTTTTTCTCAGGTGCTAAAACAAGATTTACACTTTTTAAAATTAAATAAAAAAATTAATGTGTTAAAATAAACATTCAAGTTTTATTAAAATTGTTTGTTTTATCCGCAAATGAACTCTGCAAATTTTGCGAAGAAAATCAAAATTCATCTTTCGAGTTTCGCTGATGAGTAAAAAATGATGATGACGAGGTAAGTAAACCTGATTGTGCCGAATTCGCTATAGGATGATCTTCAGGAAATAACTTTGCACCCACGACACTTTCTAATTTTCTTCTTGCTTTTGTTTGTTCGAACATTTAGTCAATTGCAATTTTTGTGTGGTGTGGCTTTTGATTGCTTGTTTTAAATTGCTGGACACATCAAATAAAACTGCTTTTTACGTGTTTGTTGATTTACGTGTTGATAAAAGTTAAATTGCTGCATGAATTCAAAAAACTTTTAATTTTTGAATTGTTACCAAATTGAACAACATAACGGCAAACAGAATAAATAAATACCATATTCTTTCAAGATAAAAACTTGAAAAGACAATAAAAATAGCATCGTCGGAGGAGTTAAGGGATGGGATAGAGAGATACCAGAATTACTTTAGTCAGTCCGGAACACATAAAATAGGACGAAATGTACACACGCACAAACACACATACACACACACACAATCATTTGCTAACCAATCAAACAGACATAACAATACATAATACACAGACGCAAAAAACATTTTACATATGAAATACATTAAAATAAAGTTGCGTTTAATGGTTTACAAAAAGCCCGGAGTAGGTGGGTAATGTTCTTACTAGACAGGAGAACACTCAGAGAAAGAGGCAGAGAAACATTATGTGCATTTCAATGGAAGTAAACTTTATGTCTTCGTTCAAAAACTTCATGCACATGAGTAAAATAGAGAAAAGAATTTGTTGGTGATAATTACGTCGGTGATGAAGATAGGTACCATTTCAACTATGATGATAATGATATAATGATCATGCTGGTGATAATTTTGTTCGCGATAATGATGGCGGGAATAGAAATGATGATGATGATTATGTTGGTGATGACGGTTATGGTGATGGTAGTTCTGATGTTGATTGTTGATGATGTTTACGATGATGATAACGATGATGATAATGATTATGTTTTTTGTATCTTTTGACGAGTTTGATGAAGTTTTTGATGATGATGATGGTGATGATGATGATGATGATGATGATGATGATGATGATTATTATTATTATTTTTGCAGTTTGTCAGAAATGAAATTTGAAAGGTTGGAAATAACTGTCAGTCTGTCTTTTTGACTTTTTTGTTTCGGTGACAAATTGATATGATGTGGATGCTGGTTGTGG